GGTCATGAGTACCTAAATTAAACCTATGTACTTCCCAAGCAATAGGAGCCACTACTTTTCAATAATATATCAACTTATATCAAAATTTGTTATTCCTCATTATAATTTAATATTTGTCGGTCCCTTTGAATAATTTTTTTAGTGAATATTGGTCGTCAAGAAAATAAATTTCTGGTTCTGCCAGTGCTACGCCCGAGTATCTTGATTCTTGTTGACATAAATGTAAATGCTCCAAATTGAAGGCCTCTATATTTGAGAGGAATGATTGGCCAAAAGCAAATAAAAAAATGAAATTAGAAAAAGGAAGAAAAAAATAAATAATTGAGGGTTTGAAAGACAAGATAAAAGCCATGTTACTTTTGCCTCCCTTTACTATTTTGTAAGAACAAAGGGGAAAAAAATCGTACGAGTTCATGTGTCAGCCAAACCTCGTGCATGCCTTATTCAATCAAAGAATTTTTCCCAACACTCAAAATTTAACCTAAGTTTGTTGCAATATAATGAAATTGATGAATGGAGGGTAGACAACTTTTGATCATATAAACATTTTATGGCATTGTCCCCTACATTTTATTGCAATAAAATCTCACGAAGATTGAGCCACATGAATTAACATGGTTGGCTTTTTGTTACATTATTATCAAATTGGTAATCTTAAGTTGCCACATGTAATTCGGCTAGTGTTGGTTCAATTTAAGGATGGTGAGCTACATATTTTAGTTCTTGGCTAGGGAAATTGGACAATTTTCATTTTAAAAAAAATAATTGATAGAAGAATATTCCTCCTAATAACCTCTTGGAGTGACATATTATGATTCGATTCGTGAGAGTTACGACGAGCAATACTCAAAAATAATAATAAAAAAATACACAAGATAGTAAAATGCAACGCAAAACGATTTTCCCCTCTATTTATATATTTACCGTTCATATTTACGTAAAATGTTAGCATTATATTTCTGAATTAAACGCTAGAATGTTATGCATGCAATAATTTCTGATGGTTTTGCGATTTTAATTGTAAATACTGAAGCGTGTAAATTCGACTGCTTTTGATTCACACAAACGAACATTTTAT